CCCACCCCCTCCACCATCCCGCATACGCCGACAATCAAGGCATCTCGCGACCACCCTCCCAATACACGTCCTCACACACCACACTCTAATTTCTAACTTTAGTGCCTTTGTTTGTCATCTCCTTAATTTTTTTCCCTCCTCCATTTCCTCTTCCGTTATTCTCCGCCCCGGAGGAAGGTACCGGCCCTAGGGGACTGCGGCGAGGTAGGCCTCCCGGTCCGGCAAAACCTGGTAGACGGGATACGCGCAGTTGACGACGGGCAGTGGGAAAAGGCCGTCCTTGACCGTGGTTCACGGCGCGGGCACCGGGCGGCCCTGGCGCCGCCGCCAGTCGGACGCGACGTCGAGGCCGAAGCGCCAGTAGGCGAGCTCAAAGGGCGGGTTGACCGTCGCGTTGGGGTTCGTGTTCTCCGACGACGGGTACATGGGCGGGCCGAGGTCGTAGACGCCCGTCGTCTCGTTGAACCAGGCGTACGAGGCCATAAAGTCGGCCGACGCGTCGAGGAGCCGCGCCCAGCGGTCGAGCGTCGCCTGCGTCGGGAACGCCCGGTACTCGAGCTCGGCAAAGTACATTGGGTGCGGCTGCTGCCAGATCAGCAGCGTGTTGATCTCGCCCGGCAAGTCGATGGTTGACGGATCCGTCATCTTGCCCCAGCGGGCGCCGTCGTAGCCCTGGTTGGCGGCGCGCTCAAACGCCCCTTCGAGCAGCCGGTCCCAGACGTGCGGCAGACTGCGGCGCAGGAGATCCCAGTGGCCCCAGCGAGCAAACTGGACGTGGTGCCAGAGGATCATTTCCATCTAGAACTCGTCAGCCAGAGCGCGCAGATAGGTTGTCCGACGTGGGAGACGTTTACATGGAACTTGCCGAACCAGCCATTGTTGACGAGGCCGGATTCTATGCAAAGGTCAGCAAATCAGTCTCGAAACGGACGTTGTGGTGGTGCGAAACCTTGAGGCGGGTAGTCGGACGCGCTGTTGACAGCGACAAGGTACTGGGACAGAATCGTGCGTCGTTGCAGTTCCATCGCATCGGCCGCGTCGGATGCTGTGAGGTCGACAAAAGCACCCTTCGTCCAGTATGATGGCCACCATGCCTCGGACGCGGCCACGATCTCACCATAGCTAGCACGACGTTCCGGCTTGGAAGGCGCAAAGTGTGCCGTCAATTCAAGCTCATTGGACCCTTCGACGGTGAGGGTATAGCGATGGCTCCCGTCGCCGGCAGCCACGACTTTGCCTTTGCCGTTCCACTCGAGGACCAAGTCGTACTCAAAGGTATCCAGATCATGATGGATCGCGGCGTGGCTCCCACAGCTGGTCAGTGAGGTGGAGTGCTTGTCAGTCTGGTTGAACAGTCCCACAAAAGGTTCGTCAAACTTGTTGTTGTTGGGATAGGGGAAATCGAAGAAGACGCCGAGGCCGCCCTTGGAGAGGAGTTCAGACTCGATTCGGATAGCCACCGTATCCGAATCTGGGTCGGCTCGCGTCTCAACCTCGACGACGGAACCCTGGTATGTGAAAGAGGACTTGATAACCCCGTTCCACAAGTCCAACTCTTGGGATTTGTCCTGGAGCGTTGCCTCTCTGACATCATCTTCACCAAATGAGAGGCCAATAGAGCCAAGGTTGATGCGGTGAGGATTCTCCCGGAGCCAGTTGGCAATATCTTGGTTGTTTTCGTTGGGCATGTTGTACTGGACAAGCCGGTCATGAGTCCACCACTCTGTGCCATTGTAGTCTATTTCGCGTCAGTCGAGCCTGCTGCGATGCGAACACGCTCCAAGCACGGAAGCGTACCGTCTATGGATGTTTGGCCTGGTGTCGTTGGCAGACTGAAGTTGTGCCAGCCCCATGTTGACATGGTAGCAAAGGGGCTGAACGTCTGTAGACCTGTGACATCAGCGCCAAAGGCAAAGTTGCCGTTGCCAACCTGCAAAGGGGTCTCCGGCGAGCTCGCATTTCGGCGAGGGTTGAACGTCTGCACGACATGCCGCCTGTCTATTTTGGCCCCGTTGGAAGCTGCAGCAAGAGAGCAGAGCAGAGCGAAAACATGCAATGACCGCATGATTGGGGAAGCTGCAGGTTCACGGGTACTTGAATCCTGATTTGTAGTAGAGCAAAGTCACTCAATTGACAGTGTCAATCGACAGTGACTGAATCGAACAGCATAGTTCTTGCTTTTATGTTTGCATTGCCTCGTTGCAGTGCTGCCCATCGGACACGTCAAAATCCGTCCTGCCAATGATACGTTACGGTTCGATACCACATGGGTGGTAAACGGGCTTGAATCGTATGGCTAGTGCCTACAGGCGATGGGATCGACAGCTTTCGGTGAACAATGAGCCGAAAACGATGTTGTCCATGCCCAATTGCCTCCTTTCCCCGGAGCAGATGGAGAGAAGAGGGGAAGATCGACTAGGTTTGGTACTGGTGCAGGGTTTCCCCACCCATGAATTGAGGCTATTCAAAGGTTGAGCCGGCAGTCAACTCGCGTTGCTTGTGCGTGATGATGTGTCAGCCAAGAAACCAAGGCGGCGAAAGCGTGGTGACATGGGTGACATGGGTGACATGGGTGACATGGGTGACATGATGCTGTCACAGGATGCTGTCACAGGATGCTGTCGCAGGACCAAGAGGCTGCATCTCAACAGTCGGTTGGAGCTGGCTATCTTGGTGTTCATGTACAAGCCATTCAATGTACCTTGCTTTCGTGTGAGCACATTGGAGATGTGCTTCGGTACTATCGGCTATTGGGAGGACTGCGGGGATGACGAGTAGTCGCTGGATTGCGATGTACAAGGCGGCTAAGCGGGTATATGAATGTCGTCGATCTTACCAGGCCGCTGTTCCAAGATCTCTGAGCTACCTAATGGTAAGCAATATGTCTACTGCTACTGCCAGTCGATTTAATCGACCTCTGCGTCCTCATGTCTTCATGCCAACCTGCCTGTAGCAGGCCTAGTACAGAAGACACCAAAGAAGGCATAGCTCGTTGCATCATCAAGTTGTGTTGTCTATTTCATCCTCTGGGAAGAGGCTTACGTGTGCGGTATTGGAGAAGAGGTAGTCTGCTGCGCAAGTCTTGCTAGGGCTGATGACTTGAATGTCTTGAGCATGTGTCCTGGCCGCCTCTCTGTGAAGGTGAAGGCGAAGGTGAAGGTGAAGGTGAAGGCGAAGGTGAAGGTGAAGGTGAAGGTGAAGGCGAAGGCGAGGTCCTTGTTGTGAGCGCCACCCCCACAAAAAGCCGGGCAGCCACATCACTGCAGCACGCCGTGGCTTGTAGGAACAGCCCCAGCAACCAAGCCAATTAGGAAACACTGTAAACATGGCTCCCTTGCCCCTCCACTCCTCTCTCTGCCCAACCTTGACCGCAGGACGACAAGTCGCAATATTCCCAACTCGCATCACTTACTCGACAGCATTTCCCAATACGGCGCCACCACATTCTCAACAGCCAGCTTACTCACTCGACTGCTGTCAGTAAAGGATATTGCTATTCCAGAGGTACGAGACTAGCGCTGACCTGGAACATCAATCGCCTGGCTAACCACTGGAATGAGCAGCCATTCGAACACCCCCCCCTTCCGCGCGACAACATCACTTTCGACTTCTGCACCAGAACCGCCGGCGTCATGAGCCTTCCTGTTCACACCATGTCAGTACCACTCCAACAGCGCCAAGATGACCTTTCTTCAATACTTCAGCGCGCGGACGGGGTTGATGCCCATTCCGCCAGCAGTGCCCGATGCCCCGCCTGCCTACTACGAGGAGGAGGAAACCATCATCGAGGCCCCGGACCTGCAGTGTCCAGAGCCCGTCTTGATCGTGGACGCTGACAAGATTCACGACGACAGAAACGCGAGGAAAGCCCGCCAACGAGCCACGATTCGAGGTGGCCCGAACAATGGCCTCGCCCTACGCCAGTATGCCGAGGCGACCCTGGGCGGCGGCAGTCTGCGCAAGGCCGTGAAGCTCCCCGAGGGAGAGGACGAGGATGAGTGGCTTGCGGTCAACAGTGCGTCCAGGATGCCTTGTACCTGAAGAGACAGAGGAGAGCGCGGCTGACAGCTGTCCCAACAGTGGTCGACTTTTACAACCAGATCAACCTCCTCTACGGGGCCATCACCGAGTTCTGCTCGCCCGAGTCGTGCTTTCCGATGAAGGCGACAGACGAGTTCGAGTACCTGTGGCAGGACAACGAAAACTACAAGAAGCCGACTAAGATGTCGGCGCCCGACTACATCAACCACCTGATGACGTGGGTCCAGAGCACCATTGACAATGAGAGCATCCTTCCCAGTCGGATCGGTGAGAGCCCCCCCCGGGCCTGTGCTCGTCAGGAGATGGCATGGCCGCTAACGTTTTGCAGGCGTCCCCTTCCCCAAGAGCTTCCCGTCGCTGGTGCGCCAGATTTTCAAGCGCATGTACCGTGTCTACGCGCACATTTACTGCCACCACTACGCCGTCATCCGCGAGCTGGGCCTCGAGCCGCATCTCAATACGAGCTTCAAGCAGTACGTGCTCTTTGTCGATGAGCACAAGCTGGACTCGGGTAAGGACTTTTATGGCCCGCTTAGTGACCTCGCCGCAAAGATGATTGAGAGCGACTGAGCGTGCTGCATGGAAGTCGGAGTCGGAGTCGGGGAGCACAATGGCACGACGAGATCAAATGAGAGACGGGATGCGACATGAATTAGAGGGACGGGTCTTTGGTCTTTGGCTGCTTTGTGGCGTTGGGTGTTGTTCGTCGCGTCGACTGTAATGAAAGCATGGTTTGGGATCAGCCGGCATGGTGCAGGCATTTGGGTTGGCCTCAAATAGGCGCGATTGTGATAACACTGTACCTTTTTATTTTCCTCAATTCGTCAGCGGCTATCGACTGCATGCTGGGTAATGATGCACTGTTCGTGAGACCGTCATCTCATGGTAAGAAAGAGGCATGACAAGCAAGAGGCATGACAAGCAAGAGCATGACAAGAGAAGGGAGGGATGAGCACCACCAAAAAGCAGGCAAATATCAGGTGGGGAGAGTGACACTTGGCAACAGCCACTGCCAGCCGGCAGTCTGTGACTGGTCTGCCTTGGCAAGTTGATGCCTCACATCGGGTCGGACAGGATCAGGCATCCATTCTCCCCATTGCCGAATTGAAACCTCAACCTTGGAAAACCGCGAAAGCTGCCCACGACCCCCATCCTCTCCGACCCTCGAAAAGCCCACCCTCCATCAACCCACCACCTCCTCTCAATACCGCCGTCATGCTGTCGAGACAAGTCCTCCGCGCCTTCCGTGCGTCAGCCCCGGTCGCCAGGCCGCTCGCCGCTCGCCGCACCTACGCTGCCGCCGCGTCCTCGTCCGAGATTGTCACGCCTCCCATCTCCGTCTTCGGTATCGACGGCACCTACGCCACGGCCCTGGTACGATTGCCCGCTCTCCTCTTGCTGTCCGAAACTCGGTGCGGCCCCGGCTGCTCAGATCAATTGGGGCCCCGAAGCCGCGCCGCCGCAACCTGCGCTGCAAGCGCTTCATACCCTCCCCCAAGACGACGACGAAAGAGAGTAGAACCAGTTTGACGACTAACGTTCTGAGCACAATAGTACACCGCGGCCGTCAAGACGTCGTCCATCGACCCTACCGCCAAGGCCCTGACGCAGCTCCAGGCCATTCTCAAGAAGGACGAGAAGCTCGTCGCCATCCTCGACGCTCCCACCCTCAGCGCCGACGACAAGTCGGCCATTGTCGCCGAGCTCAAGAAGCAGGCCGGCGGTGCCAACGACACCGTTAGCAACTTCCTCGCCGCCCTCGCCGAGAACAACCGCCTCGGCATCCTGCCCGGCGTCTGCGAGAAGTTTGCCGAGCTCATCGCCGCCGCCAAGGGCGAGGTTGAGCTGATTGTCACCTCTGCTCAGGTACGTCGTTATTCTCTCGTTTTCCCCTTCACGTCCCATTTCCGGGGTCGTCTTCGGCGCTCGGGCTGCCCATGTTGGCATCCGCCCCAAAATGCCATATCGAACCCGACACTGACGGCCAGCAGCAACTCGACAGCAAGACCCTCAACCGCCTCGAGACCGCCGTCGCCAAGTCCCCCTACGTCGGCCAGGGCAAGAAGCTCAAGGTCACCAACCAGGTACGTCACGTCACAAAGACGGATATCCCTCCACGCAGTCGGATGCCCATCCGCCCCCGCTCCATCCCCTCTCGCGCACGCCATCACCCCCCACAACAAAACCCCAGAATCTAACACTGGTCCCAGGTCAACCCCGAGATTGTCGGCGGTCTCATCGTCGAGGTCGGCGACCGCACCATCGATCTCAGCGTCTCCTCCAAGATCGCCAAGATGAACAAGCTCCTCACGGACAACCTGTAAAACCACCACCCCCTCAACCCCAACCAACCTTTTTTATTTTGTGTGTGTGTTTCGCCGGTAATTGGAGACCGCGGGCGCGGAAGGAATGAGGCACCAGCGTCACGAAAAAAAAAACATGGTCCCTTCTTCCCCAACCCTCGACGAACCGGGAATCAAAGAGGCAGAGGCCGCGGTATGCGTCGAGCAGGTCCCCCGGGTCCACGATGAGAGGATCGCCCACCCACCCGTCAGCCGGCGTGTCGGGCCTGCGCTGCCTGGACGCTGGAGGGCGGGATTGTGCATATGTAGTAGTTTGTGGTAGAAGCACGCATTTCCTACAGCCCATGGCTGGTTCTTGTCCGACATGCTGATTGATACTGTGTGCTGTATGCCTGGTCGCTTTTTTGCTGAGGGACTTTTCCTCACGGCGCTCGGGATCTGGCCTCAGGCCACCCTGAGAAGGGAGATCAGTGGTCACGTCCGAGGGCTCATATCAATTACGAAACCTGGTCGTCGACAAAGACATCGGTTGCTGGATGATGACATCTAGCTAAGGCTTCCCCATTACTGCCGTTGCGTGGCCTCTGGTCCTGAATACTGTGGCGTAGCCTCGGACATCATATAAGCTGCTGGTTTTGCGTGACACGAAAGATGCCCCATTACAATGGACACATGGCCTTTGTACGATGAATATTATATATGCTTCATTCTCCTCTAGGCTTTCTTCTGTGGTGACGTCCATTCTGCAATCGCGACTCTACCCACAGAATGCTTTTTCTACGACCCAATAGTGCAAGCAGACTTGATTCTCATCTCCCTCTCATCCCAAGAACCCATGCAAAGAGTGCGTTACAAAAATAGAAGAATGCTACCATGGCTGTCATCAGGGAGTCGCCTCATACTCATCATGCTGCGAGTCGGTGGCACCTCCCTTATCGTCACGGAACCGCTCCAGCTGGCTGTTGATGTACTGGTGCATGTGCTGGTCGGCCTCAGCCGTTTCACGCTCACGTTCAAGGTCATGAACCGAGTTGCCGAGAGAGTCGTCGCCATTGATATCGTTGTCAAAGTCACTCCTTGCGTCAATAGATCGTGCCGTAGAGGATCGGCGAATACCACGAATCGAATGCACAGATCCACGACGGCCTGTGTTCCGTGTGAAAACGTCATCAAAGTAGTGCGCCATGCCCACAGAGGGGGTGCGTGGGGTGTGTGGCAGACGGCAGTTGGTTCTATATACTCGTTAGCACTAGCCTGGTGAGGTAACAGGCATGAGACTTACCCTGTGTCGTGAATCATGCGCGCCATCAGTCCAGTCCAGCCACACTGATGCGTAGCTCCGAGGCCGCGGCCAGAGTCACCATCAAAGAACTCGTAGAACCAAAGGTAGTCCCTCCAGTGGGGATCAAAGTCTAGCGTGTCATTGCCGTCGTTGATGCTTCGGCGGCCATCATCGTTGCGGGTCATGAGATGCTGTAGACGATGTTGGATCTCCTCAGAGACGTGACCCAGATGCATGTAGTCGCCGCTACCGGTGGGACACTCAACCTGGAACTCGTGGCCATAGAAGAGGAAGAAACGCTGCAGCGACTCGACAAGCAAAAAGTTGACGCAGAGCCAGATAGGGCCTCTCCAGTTACTGTTGCCACCAAAGAGACCACTGTCGGAGTCGCCAGGGACGTAGCCGACAGAGAACTTCTGTCCGTTGACGTCCATAGAGAAGGGGTTCTCCTTGTGATATTTGGACAAGGAGCGGATACCGTGCTCGCTGAAAAACTCGTCCTCGTCGAGCATGCGGTGGAGAATCTTCTCCAACCTGTCCTTGCTAACAATCGACAGAAGGATCCTGTTGCCTTTGCCACGCTTTTGCAAACTGGCCATATTCCGCTCCGCCATGTCGGGACGATTCTCGATGAACCAATCGACACGCTTCTTGAATGATGGGAGTTTGTTAATGAGCTCCGGCTCCAGGGTCATCGTCGCGTAAAGGGGGATGAGACCGACGAGCGAGCGAACCGGCAATTGCTGGATCCAGGGACCACCCCATGAGATGGCATCGTAGTAGAAGCCATCCTCGTCGTTCCAGAGCGACTTCTCGTCCTTATCGCCTGTCCTGAAAGTCATGGCATCACTGATGAAGATGAAGTGCTCGAAGAACTTGGACGCAATGTCCTCATACGTCCGCCTGTGCTTCGCCAGCTCAAGGGCAATGTTCAGCATGCTCAGGCAGTAGAACGCCATCCAGCCAGTACTGTCCGCCTGCTCGAGGGAGCCGCCTGTCGGCAGAGGCTCAGACCGGTTGAACAGACCGATGTTGTCGAGGCCGAGGAAGCCTCCCTCAAAAACGTTCTTGCCCTCGGAATCCTTGCGGTTCACCCACCAGGTGAAGTTGAGAAGCAGTTTCTGGAACACACGCTCCAGGAAGTCGAGATCCTGACGGCCGTACAGCTTGCGCTCAATCTTGAAGGTACGGAAAGTAGCCCAGGCATGGACAGGCGGGTTCACGTCACCAAAGTTCCACTCGTACCTGCAAGCAGTCAGAGGTATGTCTTACAGCGGTTGGGTGGGTAATCGGACTTACGCAGGGAGTTGTCCATTGGGATGGCAATACCACTCACGAGTGAAGAGATCGAGCTGCTTCTTCGCAAAGTCGGGATCGATCATAGCCAACGGGATACAGTGGAAGGCACTGTCCCAAGCAGCGAAGAATGGATATTCCCATGAATCGGGCATCGAGAGAATATCGTCGCAGTGCATGTGCTTCCACTGGGAGTTTCTGATGGCTTTCCGGCCCGGCGGGGGAGGCGGCTGCGTAGGATCGCCGTTTGCCCACTGGTCCCAGATGAACAGATAGTGCTGCTTGGTCCACATCATGCCGGAGAAGGCCTGGCGCTGGATGTTGCGCAAATCATCCGCCATGGGCAGCGGGCTGATTCTGTAGTAGAAGTCGTCGGCATCGGCCACACGCTGGTCCATGATATCGTCGAATTCACCCTCATCGAAGTAGGGCAAGTCCTTCTTGGAGAATCGGAAACGGACCACGGCGCACTCGCCAGGGTTGACACCGCCGTCCTCGTTGAAGTTGAACCATGCGGCGGCTTTGGTACCGGTCTGAGCGGGGTTGATGGCCTTCTTCTCGCCATCGACGATATACTTGTGGAAGGCGTCCTTGACGTAGGGAGTCTTGTTTTCTTGCTTGTACAGAGTCTCAAAGTTGGTGTCGTTATCGGTGAACATCATCTTCGGGAGAACATCCTCGCCACTGGCGCCGACACCGGGAGAGGGTGACATGGAGAGGAAGCGCTCGCCGAGGGAGTGATGTTTCGACTTGACTTGATTCTCGCCGTGAATGCCCAGGGAGGGCTTCTTGTCTTCGGGCTCGCGGCCCCAAGCCCAGGTGTTACGGAACCACATGTGCGGCACAATGTGGATGGGCGCCGGGTCGGGTCCTCTGTTCCAGGCAGTAACTCGAAAGAGGAGCTCGTCGGGGTCATCTGATTCCTTGGCCGTCTCAATGAAAATGTCCCAGTAACGGTCTTCGTCGAAGACACCAGTGTCGAGAATCTGGTACTCATTGTCCTCCTTTCCGCGGCGGGCGTTCTCGGCCAAAAGGTCTTCGTAGGGGAACTTCTTCTGGGGGTATTTGTAGAGAAACTTCATGTACGAGTGCTGTGAGGTGTCAGCTTGACGGCGCTGCGTGGGAGGGGATGTTTCGAGCTTACGGTCTAGGGATCCAATGTTAGCCTTTGCTGACGACAATCACGACACATAGAGCTTTGACTTACCGGCGTGTTGTCGACGTGGAAATGGGCCTCCTTGACACCCTCGCCATGGTTTCCCTGAGGGTTTGAAAGGCCAAAAAGCCTCTCCTTGAGGAAATCACTACCAGCTGGGTTAGCATGGCGTCCCAGAGACGACGTGCTGCAGCGTAGCCGAAGACTCACTCCTCTTCGTTCCAGAACGCAAATGCAATGTTCTGGAAGCCATGTGTATCACAAACACCCGAGATACCGTCCTCGCCCCATCGGTAGGCGCGGGAGCGCGAGTGCTCGTGGCTGAAGTCTGTAGAGCGGTCAGCGTCCAGAGCCAACCTCCAAAGCCAAAAAAGAAAAAGTGACGCAAACACGGCGGTACGTACGACTCCAAGCATCGCCGTCAGGGCTGTAATCCTCGCGCACTAGATCGGACCGTGTTAGCAAGGCCCAATGGCCGACGCTCTGCGCGCTGGGGCCTCGACAGGAGGAAGCTCTCACCGGTGGCCCACTGGCGCTCCGCGACGTAGGGACCCCATTTCTTCCAGTACTTCTCCCGCTTCCTGTCCTGGCCGAGACGCTTCTCCTCCTCGGTCAGGTACTCGTGGCCGTCAAACACAACCATGGCGTATTGCTTCTGAAGGTCAGGGTGACGAGAACGGAAGCAGAAGACTACGTCGAGGGGGGGAGGGAAAAAGACGGTTGACGAGAAAGATGTGCGCCGGGGACTGGCGAGGTAGACAGAGGAAGTCCGCCGGTCTAGCCTGTTCGAGCCTGCTAGGTCACGTCACGATACGTTCACGGCGATAGGTCCAGAGGCTAATCGTGACACAGGCGCAAGGGGAAAGCAACCAAGAGGGCGGTGGGTAGGGAGGATTGGAACGGAGATGGGCGGGCAGGCACATGGGGATTGGTTTTAGCGATGGAGGGGGAGAGAAAGCATGCAGTAGCACTTGGGTAGCGGGGTGAAGTTTGCCCAGACCCCAATTGCATCTCACGCCAAGCTCGAGCTCCAAGCTCGACGGTGTGGACGCGCCTGTTCCTGCCTGTTCCTGTTCCTGTTCCTGCCGATTCTGCTCCCTGCTCCCTGCTCTGCTACTCTACTAAGCCTCCCCGGGGATGGGAAAGAAAAGACCTGTCAGACACGTCCTGCCCACCGCAACTGCAAAATGCAGTCTGATACCTGGGTTGGTAAGTACCAGGTAGGTAGCTTGGGGCGCACCCGGCCACTACCTCCCCGGTACATGCCTCGCCGACCAATCCCCGGCAAAGCTTCCGGTAGCGCCGAGTATTCTTGCGATAGCCCACCTGGCCCCCTGGCCCTCCGCTAATCATAAGGAATGCAACAATTGCATCGAAGACAGCTTGCTCCGAAGCATGACGTCAGGTATCTCTAGCGCCAGAGATACGACACCGACCAAGCTGCTGAAACCCGCCCGCGTCCAGTCCAACCCGGTTCTACTGTTGTTATTAGGTATGCAGGGGCGGCACTCCTCTGCGCGCCGCGGGCCCCCGAGCACGGCACCAACAAGCCACATACGATTTTTTTCGATTTTTTTTTTATTTCGCGCTGCACTACCACCGGCAGGCAGGCAGGCATGCTCATCGAACCGGGCTTGGGCAGGCACATCATCACCTCTGAAGTTGCGCCACACAAGGCCACAAGCCAGGGCCGCGCCATGGGTTGACAGGGGACGGACGTAGGTCCCGCCCATCCATCGTCGATACCAAGACTGCGATCGGCGATGCACCTGCCAGAAGCCAGAAGCCAGAAAGAAGCCACGAAACGTTCTTGTCACGCATGTCCACGCCTTGCCTGCCACTCGAGCGTAAAGTAAGCCAGCCTGCATGCCAGCCTTTCAATTTGGACACATCCCAGAGCCGCAGAGCCTCGATGGAGACGTTGCACTGGGCTGCAAGTTCAATGTGCCCATGCCACCCTTGCTTGCCCGTGCTCTTCACCGGCTTGCTATTCCCTGTTCGCTAGCGATTAAGAACCTCCTAGCGAACCGCCTCCGGAAAGCCCGTCGCCCGGTCTGGACCTCGCTAAAAGGGGCGTATCTGACGACATGTAAGGAGCCATTTTCCGAAGAAGAAAAAAAGTGCCATGCTGTGGAAGGAGGTTCAGCAGGAAAAGTTTGGACGCCGAGGACGCCTTTGTCCGATCAAATTGCTCTGTGGGATATCTAAAAGCCATCTTCTTGCTGTCGGCGAGCCCTGCCGGCCGGCATCGCGAGAATACAATCGAATGATGAGAAAGAAAATATGCTAAATCCATTTGTACGAATCTCACACTCAGACTTCTTTCGTCCACATGGCCGTCATCAACTCATACCCTCGGACCTATCCTACTTGGCGAACCATGGAAACTTCTTCTTCGACAGGTCCGATGGCCCCCCGGTTGGAACTCCACTTGCACACTACGCATGGTAAATCTCCTACACAGATTGTTAGTACAAGATTAAAACACAAGCGTCGCTGTGATTCAACGAACCTCATCATCTGTGGGCATACGGCAATCCAAGATGAGCTCCCGAGCTGATTCCAACTTGGTGAGATTTGGATAGGCTGTACTTTGACTCTTCATGATGGGCAGCAAGATTTCGCCGAGAACCTCAAATTTTTTCCAGTTGATTCGATCGTTGTCCGTGCCAATAAATGTTTTGCTGCCTTCTTCAGCCGAGACCAGATCTCGACGATGCAGAGGGATGTACGGGATCCGGGGTAGTGGTGAGTTCTCCCACGCCAGTCTGTACGCAAAGTGACTCTTCTGCGTGCCCATGAGGATGCCCAACTTGGCAAACGCCCGCTTCCTGTCCGGCGGCACCAGCGCCCAGGTTTGTGCCAGCCGATGCACTGCAGTTCCGTTGATGCCAGCCAACACCGCTGCCAAGCCGCTGTAGTTGTTCATGCGCCGGAGCTTGCCCGCAACAGCCATAAACTTTTCTAGCATCTGTGCTCGGTGCTTTGGCTTGTCTCTCAGCAGGATCAAGTTTGCTGCCCATTTTGCTACATGGTTGAAGTGGTTGATCATGCGATTCACGTTCTTCAAGCTCTTGCACTTGGCTCGCTGGTCGATTGGCAGGCTGACGTGCCGGACAAAGTCTCGAATGCGAATCGACGAGAACATGACCCAGTCAATCCGCGTCATTTCTTCGGCTATGTCGTCTTCGGGAATGTCCATGAAAATATGATAGCGGAACTTGTTCATGGGCAAGACGTCAGTCGGCTCCATGGTGGCAGCCTCCCTCTCATAATCATCGAAGGATTGCAAAGAAACAAAGCTGTTGACCCTGTCGACCTGCAAGATGTCGGGGCTGCCAGATGGTCTATCGTCGCCCATCTTGTCGTCGTCGAGATACAAGCTGCTCACGCCGACAGAGATGTCTGACATGGATCGTGACGCTTCCTTGGACAAAACCCGGCTGGCCGCCTTGTCAGCGACGTCATCTGACTTGGCCCAACCGGTGTCGTCGTCTTCCACCACGCTATGTTCGAGATGCTGACGGATCTGCCGCGCTGCAATGCAGAAGATGGGTTCTGTGGAGAGATGGCGGATGAAATCCTCCAGATTCCGCCGCGTGGCGGGCCGGGCGAAATCCCCTGGATACAAAGATACCCATCGGGCCACAACCTCAATGATGCGAAGCTGAGTGGCTGTCTTGGTGAGGTGGTGCGATGTCTTGTCGTCCCGAACGCGGTCGAGCCTAATTAGTATGGACGAGAAGAGCTCGCCTGGAGCGGCAAACTTCCGGTAGAGGCATAGGAACACCTCGAGAAAGTTGTGATCGGCTCTCGACATCTTCAACGAGATCAGCCGATCAACGAGCTCATCAAACGACACGCCGGCGGCAGCCTTGGCAGGCTTATCGGAGAGAGCTTCGTCATTGCGTTGAAGGATGGGTATGTCATCGGGGCTGTTGCGTGATTCGGCGTCTGATTCGTCCATGTCCAAGAAGGAGTCGTTCGGCGCTCGGTCTAGTCGAATCCCAGGCGTCCGGAGCATACTCGAGACAGATTGATTGAATTCGTCGCCGGAAGGCTCTGCTGCCAAACGTCGAGGCGCCCGGTTGGGCATTGTTGAACGCGGCCAGTCGGGGCTTCGGGACGATGGTCGGTACTGGTCGATGGGAGCACACGCAGCAGGGACAGATCCGAGCTTGCGCGGCTGTGTTTGCTCTGCTGGCTGAGGGGTCGATTGGTGGGTGCGTCGAGTGTGTCGAGATTAGCAGTGGATGCCGCGCGCCGACGTGACGCTGCTGGCTCAGCCCCTTGAGGATCTGCCTCGCGAGTCAGTCATGGTTCGCTAAGATGGTGAGACGATGGCATCCTACCCTTGCGGTTGGCGACTGCCGCCTTGACCACTGTGTGCAGGCAGGCACGTGCTCTTTCGGGCGCGTTGGAGGAAAGGTTATAGGTAGCAACGCATGACTTGAACAAGTCATGATTGGCAACGAGCTGCGTGTCGACCTGGCGAACGTTGCCAGGGTCGCATTTGTTAGCGACGAGGACGGCCGGAAGGCCGGCTTTGGTCAAAGCAGCTGGGCGGTCGTATCAGCTACATGTCCAAGAGCTACAAAGGGGGAGATGAGGAGAGGGGGTCGGCTGTCGTACCGATAGTTTCGGGGAGTTCCTTCATTGTTCCACCCTTGGTAACATCATATAATATTAGCGCGCCATCGACGCGAGGCACGATGTGACCGTTGATCTGTTTTGGCCATTGTATGGGATGGGCGGGGCTCATGTCGAAGTATTCAAGATCGAGCTCGAGCAGTGTGACGCCCAACGTCATGTTATCGACGACAAGGCGGACGCTCGAGGCATTGGAGATTGGTGGGCGTGAGAGGCCGAGAACGCGCTGGATATAGGAAGATTTGCCGACGCCAGTGGCACCGATGATTCTGTGCTCCGAATCGCGTCAGCGGACTCTTGGTCCCATGAATGAGGACGAGGAGGGGAAGAGGAGAGGTTCTTGTATGTGCAGGACGACGCACGCTATGTTGAGACTATCCATATTGGCGGAGTTTGGTTGCTGCATAGATAGTGCGGTCAGCGCTAATCATGCGAGTGTGCCTGAATGCGCGTGGCAGCACGGCGTACCCAATGAGGTGTGTGTCCGATAGTTAGGGACTCTCTTCGAGGTGGCGGCCAGCGCTGGTCATCAGAGTCGTCATCGCGGATCGGGGTCGCGTCGTGGGAGGATGGGTCAGCTTCGAACAGCTGCAGGTCGCGTGTGTTGTGGTCG